TGGATTCTGGGCTACAGCTGAGCCCCGCCAATAATGCACAGTGGCACCATTTATAGTTTCATTCAGTGTGTAGATAAGTTTAGCGGAGAAATATGGGCCATATGTGCAGGTTAATCTCTCTTTGCTCACCATTATTCCACCAATTATGTCCCATACTGAAATGACAGGTTTATCAAAAGTTCAGAAACTTCACCATCCTCTCCTTACTTTGGGGCCCTGGGTAATCAGAAACTCTGATGACCCAAATGCAGCTCCCCACCATGGATGGATTACTGGACAGGCCTACTAAGCACAGGCTCAGGGGCCCAAATTGTCAGGGGGTCCCCCTGGCCTTCACTTGCAAAATGATAAATGTCAAATTAACATGTACCGACCAGGAAGAGACTCAAAACAAAACAACCAAAAAAGACACAATATTACCTCAGAGACCCAAATGGCTTAAAAAAGATACAAAACTACCTCAAGGAGACACAAAATGATGACAAAAGCAACACAAAACAACAACAAGGAAAAACAAAATGACTAAAAAGCAACACAAAATAACCAAAAAACACCAAATTTCCTCAAAATTACCTCAAAGAGCACTTAACGGCTAAAAAGACACAAAATAACCACAAGAAGACACAAAATGACTACAAAAGCCACAAAAAACAAACAAGGAGAGACATAATTACCAAAAAAAGACACAAAACAAACACAAGGAGACACAAAATGACTAAAACGTGACACAAAATAACCAAAAAGACACAAAATTACCAAAATAAGACAAAACAACCACAAGGAGACACAAAATGACTAAAACATGACACAATAACCAAAAAAGACACAAAATAACCACAAGAAGATGAAAAATGACTACAAAAGCGACACAAAACAAACACAAGGAGGCACAAAACAAACACAAGGAGACACAAAATTACCTCTAAGAGACACACAACCACAAAAACATGCATAATGACAATGACATGCAAAACCACCACAGACTCTGTGTCTTGCTCCTTTGTAGGAGAGGTGGTGGGTCCTTTGCTTATCCATGCCCAGGGGCCTATTGTCTCATACTCCGCCCATGCTCCCCCACATACTATTTCAGCCCCAGGAGAGGTGGCTTATTGGAGCCTTAGTTGTTCATACAGTTTATATATCATTTATTAATCCTACAGAGTATCATGACATCTGTTCACTCTTTGGTCCACTAGTGCAGAACAAATGACAGCCCCAACTTTGAACATATGTTGAGCAGTTTGCATGCATATTGTACATGCAGGCGTGAGAGCACTGTACTTAATGCACACACATGAGGGTAATGTGCACATTTGTTGGCATGCAAAAAGAATCAGCACCTCAGAGCTATAAAGCAGTTTGACATTGGATGGATTCACAGCCACTGAGCTGAAAGGTCCATAGAAAATGGTTTTGACATTATACGTTTTGCTCATAGTCACATGATTTAGTATGAAGCTACTTGGTCCTGATTCAAAACTATGAAGTTATCATAGTATGTTTATATTTAGCCTGTGGTTGAATTGCTCACTGAATTAACTGGCTCCTGATGAAGGTGTAACTCTGACTTCAGCTGCTGTACGTGACTGGTGGAGACAAATTTAGCGCCAAGTGCTCGTGCTGCGATACCAGCGTATCAAGGTGTGCGTGTGAACAATGTTAAGTGAGGCAGCGGAGGTGTGAGCGAGAGAACGAGAGCTCTTAATTATTTCAACATTTATGGTAAGTTATTTGAATAGCTGCACGGTGTTGCGCATTATATCTCTGGGCTGGTGTCGTATGTTTCCAGTTTGATCACAGACAGCGTGCCTCTGTGCTCCCTGACATCCTGTCACATGATTCAGTGACCGGTGTCTCTTTGACTGGCCTCGTCTGTGGCGGCTGGAACATGTGATTGACTCAGTTTTCAGGGGATGTTTATGGTCTATGACTATGGCATGGTTTAAATTACAACAAGGCAAATCCTACGCTGTGATTTCAGAATTATATTACTTCCAATAAGCCTCTGACACATTTAGACCATGACCACATACTAACACACAAGAAAAATAAAACATTGTTTGTGCAAGGTTGACTCCCTTTTTCCAGAGTAAAGCTGGTAAGTGTCCAAAATATGAAGGGTGGATCATGAATATGCTCAGTTAAGTTTCATGCTAATTTGCCCATTAAACTTTGATATGTCTTGTGTGCATGGATGGATTACTGAAGGGGCCTACCAGGCACAGGTCAAGGGGCTCAAAATATCAGGGGCACCCCTGGCCCTCACCTGCAACTATCACTCAGATTAACACATACTGACCAGTAAGACTCCAAATGACCACAAAGAAACACAAAAAAATGCAAATAGACACAAAATAATTCATAACGACTATTATAAGATGCAAAACAACCCCAAGACGACACAACCCCCCCCAAAAAGGAACATAAAATTACCTCAAAGAGACAACAACAAAGAAAGACAAAATGACTACAGTGACACACAAAGTTACAACAGATACGACTATTAAGAGGCACAGAATGACTACAAAGACACACAAAACGACTACAAAGACACATGAAATGATTAGAAAAAGACACAACATGATTCATAAGAACTACAAAGAGACCCGAGGGAACTGCAAATAGACACAAACAACCAAAGAAGACAAAATGACCACACAAAGACACAAAATTAATTCAACACACAACCACTACAAAGAGGCACAGAATAACTACAAAGAAACACAAAAGGATGACAAAGACACATGAAATGACTACAACGAGACCCAAAACTACAAAGTGATTCATAAGAACTGTAAAGAGATGCAAAATAATAAAAAGGAGGCACCACCACCACAAAGTCTGTGTGTCTTGCTCCCGTGTAAGTGGCGGGGCCTTTTGCATATCCGTGCCCAGGGGCCCACTGCCTCATAATCTGCCCATGTTTGCGTACAATATCATCCTGATGCTGGCATTGGAGGAAATGTCATGGGGTCATTAAAATCATTAAGACTCATTCTCCGATGAGCATGAGTACACAAAGCAAAGTTTATGGAAATCCCCAACATGTAATGTAAGGTCAGTGTAATAGGTCAGACTGGGTCAAGGCAAAGCTTCTTGGTTCAGGTACATCCAGACTGTTCAGACATTAGAATAACGTGGGAAAAGAAAAGTGGAAGTCCAGATGACCGTCCCTCCTGGCTCACGCTAATCTCTCACAGTTTAACTGACAAACTGTTATCAGACTATGGCTGTTTGTTTACACCACACTGCCTTCAAGGCCCAGGAGGCGGTTTGGATTATCAGCTCAGATGCATCCTGCATATGGGTTTCAGCACACCTATCATAGAACTAATATCAGACTCGGAGCTGCAGCCATGTGAGCAGTAATCCTGGTGAGAACGTGCAGCAACATTCAGCTTGATCACATGGTCAGGTCTGTGGCACCAAATACTCCAACTATAACCACTTCCTCTTAGTTCAGTTGGTTTTTACCTTTTATGACTGTTTCAATATTTACTGTTGGGTAATTACAGCCAAATGCGACTTTAATATACTTAACCTCCACCTGCAGTATTACTATATGCTTTTATATACATGTGCTTAAAGGGACAGTTCACCCCTAAATCAAAAATATATAATATTTTTCCTCTAACATTTAGCCCTATTTATCAGTCTAGATCATTTTGGTGCGAGTTGCTAAGTGTTGGAGAAATTGGCCGTAGAGATGTCTGCCTTTTCTCAGATATAATTGAACTAGATGGCACTCGGCTGGTGACACTCAAAGTTCCAAGGAAATACATTTGAAAAACTCAGCAGCAATGTCTGACCTGGTTACTCAAGATAATCCACAGACCTTGTTGTGAGCAATTTCATGTAGGAACTATTTTCTTTCCACCAAACTACACCTGCCAGTCGCATCACCGCGTACAGAGAAACGTGCATCTACTCATGGACAAGAGGCTCGTGCTTGTGACAGTACAACATTACTTAGCTAGCTCAGTGGTGCTAGGTGAGCTATCAGTGTGCGGTGATACAGTTGGCGGGTGTAGTTCAGTAGAAAGAAAGTAGTTCCTACATGGAACTGCTCACAACAAGGTCTGTGGATCATCTTGAGTAACCGGGTCATGATTTCTGGAAAGAGACACTGCTGTTGAGTTTTTCAAAGGTACTTTTTTGGTGCTACGGGCACCACAAGCCGAGTGCCATCTACTTCCATTATATTTAGGAGAAGGCAGACATCTCTACAGCTGATATCTCCAACACTGGGCATCTCACAACAAAACAAATTAGACTGATAAACAGCACTACATGTAAGAGGAAAAATATGTGTTTTTGATTTTGGGGTGAACTGACCCTTTAAATGCACTTCCTGTCTTAATATACATATATTTTCTATACTGATTAGTGCATTTCAAATGATTTCTGCTGCATTTATATTCCATGTCATTGCATCATAGTGACCTAATCATACTTTCTTCTAGTGTGCTGATGGTATCACTGTACGACCAAAATATCAAAATAGGGACTATTCTCCATATGGCAGGCTGACAGTCAGATATCTTATCAATTTCCACCAGTTTGGAGGCTTCAAACAGCGGAACCAGATAGTGAGAGGAACTTCAAAGCCTTACAGCAAGACATCAAACAGATGGAAAAGGTGCATGCATGATAACATTGATGTTTTTTTGTTTTTTTTTTACTACCATGACTTGAGCGTTTCTAGACATGTTTCTCTGCAGGAGACTCCTCTTTCTCACCTCCCAACCAACCGAGTGGCACTGTGTGCATTTCCAAGGAATGATCCTTTACTATCTGGTTTTAAATCATGACAACCGACTTGTTGTTTTTCTGGGCAGGTCTGCATAAAAAACCACAGCATCCTGGTTCTGAAATACCTCCATCTCCGCACATCCGCGTCTCCTGACACACAACACACACATCCATCCATGCCGTCCATCCATCCCTGCACACGGGCTGAGGAGAGGAAACCAGTGGGGACAGAAAGAAAACAGCCTTACCGTGATTGTCTTCATCCATGTTGATTGTAGTAGTGACAGGACAGTCCGAGGGGAAGGTGTGTCCGGTGGAAAATGTATTATGAGTGTTTTTCAGCGGGATTTCTGTGTGTTTTCCCCGCTGACAGACAGTCCGGCGTGTTGACAGGCAGATGAAGTGGAGCGGGCTGGTGCCAAGATGTCAGCGGCGGAAATGATATAAAACCAGACAGAAAAACAAGCCGCAGTCTGGGGGTGAATTAAAGGGAGGTCCGTAATAGTACAGGGTATATTTCAGAGGTGTTTGACCCGGAGCGTCTGCCTCCTCTCTGCTCCATCCTCTCTGCTCCGTCTGCATTCACATTAGCTACACTGCAACCGCGACGACGTCATCAAGCCCCGCCCCTGCTAATAACACCCCCACACTAAACACACACACACACACACACACTAAATGTAGTTCAATTTGAATATATTGAATCTAAAGATACTGCAAACCGCCTATAAAATTCCAACCATGCTTAACTATGTAATTGTACAATTTCAACTGATTGCTAAAACACGCAAAATTCCCCAAAACACACTGAGGGCCCAGAAAGTTCTTAGACCTTCTGTCTAAAGCGACAAGGAGTTATAAACTGGTTATGAACTGGTTATGAAATGGTCTCAATTAACACCTTCTCCGTCAGAGTATTATTTTTAAGTTTTGATCATATTCACTAATCGTTCAAGACCCACAGAATAATTTGTTCTATGAATATGTAAACAGTATACGTTAAACTAAAGAAGAGACATTCTGTTTTAATACACAAAAAACACTTATTCCATTTCTTTTTTATCAACACTTGAATTTGTACATTTTCATTAAAAAATCATTTCAGACAAAAAGCTGAGATTTTCAAGTGCAAAGTCAATTTCACATTTACATTTTTTGTTTTTTTTTCACATTTCATTACATAAATTTGAATTCTAAAAATGAAAATAATAACAATGAAAATGATATTCTGTCTGAGATATAGCGGAACACGTTGTCACGTTCAGTGTCAATACTGTTGTCTCCCTAGTCAAGGAAATACATAAACAATATCCGATGGGTCACTTCAAAAAAGGCTGAACCAGAAGGAAAAAAACTGTTGTCTCCCTCTCCTCTGTGGTTGTCGTGTACATGTGTGACTGTCACCGTCATGGAGATCCCGTTTCAACCCACCAAACTTGTTTCTTCGTACAAATCGGATTAGGAATGTTGATCTGAACAGGCATTGTCAGAGTCCATCAACATCTCCATGGCTTGCGCAGCCGTAAACCTTTTCTTCAGCGCTGGCATTTCATTCAGTTTACAAGCTGCTACATCTCTGTAAACAACATCTCCCACGGTTTCCAGCGGATCTTCTTCTTCGTTTGTTTTTGGACTCAGCAGCTTATAACAGTGAAAATACGAATTGCCAGAAAATCTCGGTAATGGCGGGGATAGTGTTGAACACTGATGCTTCAATATGACCTGCATAAGCAAATGAGATTGGCTATTTCTATACAGGTATTCTTAACACCATTCCCTGGGTTTGGTCCCCCTCCCAAGGTCGCCCAGCTATGTGTGAGCCATCCCCTTAACACCAGAACTTTTTACACAAAGATTGCCTGATAGGGCTGCTATGAAGTACCTTCATTACACCGCCTTTGCTTTTGTACACAGAACCAAACAACCAACACATTCTGACTCAGACCTCATCACATATTGACGTTTGGTCATGGACTTTCCACGTCCAGATACGATGTGAAAGGTACCCTTGGTGTGTTGGTTGTTGAAGTTCTAGGACACAGTGTCAAGTTCTGCCTGTTACATACATTGTCTTCTTTCAAAAAACACTTCTCTTTTCACAGGAAATTTACAGTTTACAAAACCGCAAATTGATTTTTTTTATTTTTTGGGGGTCTTCAACAACTAATGCACGTGGTTGGGTTTAGGCAACAAAAGCACGTGGTTGGGCTTAGGAAGAAATAACAGGGTTTGGCTTCTTATGGGACTTGAAACTGCTCTCCTGGGTGAAAGTTGGTGTTTGTTGGATCCATCCACCATCTCTCCCGCCCACCCTACTCAGACTTTCACCGCATTAATTTTTATTTTTGTCCTGCCACGTTTCCCCCCGACGCTGCTGAGCTCTGTTAAACTATAACAGCAACTGGCCACGTATTAGGGCGACGTTAAAGGACAGTTTTTTTCATCAGTGTCTGACGCCGCAAGTCACTGTCCACATGCTGGATTTTGATGACTTCAGAGTGAGACCAGGTTGAAACAACAGTGGCATCATGCCACCCCAGTGTATGATTTCAGATAGCATGCCGGCAGCATCGGCATGCAATGTGACAGATAACATAGGTGTCGGCCGCGATTTCTAAACAATAAAAATGGCATTAACATATCAATAACAATAATTTACCATCACTGTCATATGGCAGTTGATCTCATCCTCTGCACGGAGGGTAAGATGTTCCTGGACCTTATTGTCCTCCCAATTTGCAGACATTTTCTGCTGCTGTTCTTCTACTTGAGTTAGCTGCTAACTGCTTCCAGCTGCTTATAAAATCTTCTACTGGACCGTCACACACAAAGCATGTCGTCAAAAAGTCACACCCATCCTGTCCATGGTCCTGTCCTGACAGCTGTCCCTTATACACATACATTGATTTCATGCCACTACAACTTTTGCTGCCAGCTTAAAGGAGCTATATGTAAGAAATATAAAGCAAATAGTCATAAAATCCTCCTAATATGTCACAGAGACTAAGGAATAATGTTCATATAACATACTGATCTCACCGACAACAATAGTACAGCCAGAATATTCGCATTTAAAAAAAGCACTGTGTCTGTTGTTAGCACTGCACTGCAAGCCGCCAGCATTTTGGTTAAACCATGACCATTTTTGCATGTGACATCCGAGGCAAGAGCCCTGTGTATATATTGTAAGTTTAACTTAAGGGAAAAATAATTTGTCTATTGTCTAAAATAATTTGTCTTCCGTGGACCTTGCTACAGTTTTCCACCAAATTTCATAAAAATTGGGCCTGTAGTTTTTCTGTAATCCTGCTGACAAACACACAAACAACACGAAAACATGACTTCCCTTGGTGGAGGTTATTAAGTTATTAGTGGGGTCATGCATCCTTATTTTTCATCATTTAACTTTCATTTGTTGAGTTCAGTTACATCAGAGTCCAGTGGGGAGATTCCAAGCAAATTTTCACTCAATCATTTTCAATTTCACTTTCCATCTGCAACTTACAGACTCTCTTCAAAGTACTAAGACTTCCAGTGTGGGTTTAGTTACTCTTTAAGGTCAGAGGAAATGCTCCTTAAGTTCAGTTAAGGGTTAAACTCCTTGATCAATAATGTGAAAGGAAACACACAGGACGCACAGGAAATGTGTCAGGGTTGCCTTTTGTGTTTTTTTATCGCAGATCAGATTTAGCTATTTTACTCCTTAGAGCCACTTTGTCCATGTATGTACATTCACATTAAATCATATGATCACATGATATTATTGATTTACACATAAGTATTTGTAATTTTATGATTTGGTTCATTTATGATCCACGCTGTCAGTGAACTGCTTCAAAAAGCCTTTCTAAACACACCTCTAAAAGTGCACACATGTCAACAGTACTTCTCTGATTCTGACCTCATGCTTCCGCCACACTTTCCTTTTTAGTGACGCAGGCGTGAGGGCACCTTTGAAGGCCAAAGGAATCCAACTCGGATGCTTCCTGTCTGTCCCCCGCCCATGTGACCTCATGCCTCACTGAGGCTTTTCCAGGGAAGATCCCGACCACACCAGCAGTGATGTCCAGCAGAGAGGAAGATGAAGGCAGGACCCAGCATGTGGTCCAGAGTTCAGGAAGGGAGGTGTGCTGAGGACCCTTTGTGCAGGCGGACACAAAGGAAAGTTACAGGAAAGGAAGTGATGTGATCAGCCTGCCCGCCTCCACCCTGACTATATTATGAAATCGGAACTGACCTGTGTCACTTCACGACCAGTGATGGAGTACATTTACCCCCCCCCCCCCCCCCCCCCCCCCCCCCCCCCCCCCCCCCCCCCCCCCCCCCCGCCAAAGCAAAAATACATATTTTCCAATTTCTGTGGTGCTATTTATCAGTCTAGATCATCTTGGTGTGAGGTGCTGAGTGCTGGAGATATCGGCCGTAGAGATGTCTGCCTTCTCTCCAATATAATGGAACTAGATTGTACTCAGCTTGCGGTGCTCAAAGCACCAAAGAATACATTTGAAAAACTCAACAGCAATGTCTCTTTCCAGATATCATGAGCTGGTTACCCAAGATAATCCACAGACCCTGTTGTGAGCAATTTCATGTAGGAACTATTTTTTTTCTATCGAAATACACCTGCCAACCGAATCACTACCACCACTACCTTTTCCCAGTGGCCTCTCAAGTGATTGAGCTGCTTTCCTGGGGGCCTTGCTGTAATGTTAGCTAGCTCCATGGTGCTACTAGCTATCCGTAGATGCAAAGTTCCCTCTGCACAGTGATACTGTTTGTGGGTGAAGATGGGTACTAAGAAAATAGTCCCTACATGAAACTGCTCATTCTAGTTCCATTATATTTGAGAGAGGGCAGACAACTCTATGGTCGATATCTCCAACACTCAGCAACTCACACCAGAACAATCTGGAAATAGTACTACAGGTAAGAGGAAAAATATGTATTTTTGATCTTAGGGTCTGGGGCCTTTTATGCCCACTTGGTATCTCAGCCTTCAGTTAGTGTTTGTTTTGCTACTAACATCTGAACTGTTATCATATGAGCAGAACATGCTTTAAAAGTAGCCTATTGCCAAAAATGTTGACTTGCATCTGGTCCACAGTCTTCTCTAGAGGGTTGAACCTAAAATATACTCATTTCCCATTTGGTTTGTTGCTGTCGTCTGTATGGAGCACAGCATTTTTTCCAGGCTTTAAAAGGGCTCCATGGAGGAGGCTGCTAATGCAGTGTCCTGTTTCTGTGTTTTACTGACACGAGTTTATCCAGTTGAGAAGTTAAAATTTATGCTTGGCAAGCTGTACACACATAGAGAGGAGACAATATCACTACACATCAATATCATAGCCAACTCAGCTTTGTTTTTTATTTCACTTTCTACAGCAGTGTTCAGGTTTTGGCTTGAATTAAATTTTGTACTCATTTATTAATGAATTATTATTGTTAGTGGCCAGTTGTAACATGTGAGTACGTGACAGACCTTAAGCACACAGCCACAGTCTGATCACTGCTGCAAATCACACGGTGATGGTTTGAATTTGTTGGATTTTCCTTTTGTTTATGCAAAGCTTGAACTGTTACGCAAC